TTTTCCAGATTTTTTTTTCCTCCATTCCTTAGTGTGGTGGATTTTTTTTCTTTCTTATTTTTCAGGTAGTTGGGACAATACAATATTATGATTTTGAAGTGTCTAGCTCTACACAAGACGGGGGCTTTCATTGTTTATATTAATAAGGCAGAAAAACTCTAGGTCAAAATCTTCGACTGCTGTGAATCATTCAGCATAAGTCTATCTTGCAAAACATCATGCAGACCTTTCTGAGTTTTGTAAGTCACCAGCAGTACATTAACTGTGCCTAACAGCTAACGGAGGACTTGGGAGGATGGAACTGCAGTATGTGTCTGCAGTCATGTATGTAGCATTACCTTGAGTTTCTGTGTGAATCTGGGGAGCAGCCACAGGAAAGCATATGCTAAAGTACTCTAATGTGGATGTAGCGGGAAGAAGGGTGTGGTGGTTCGTTATATTACATTAGTTCAAATCTGAAATACCTGTATTTTTTTGTTCTTTCTCAGCTGTAGTTAGTCTGCTGATCTAACCTTCAAGTCTGGGAACTAGGGGACAGTAAGAATCTGAGGCTATGTATTGTTCTTAAAAATTTGGGGATGCTCTTTAAAAGAGGTATAACCAATGTCTTTCTTCATTATAATAAGTTTTCTACTGTGCGTTAACATAGACCTTTTAGGCTTAGCTTGCAGAAAGTAAAATCTTGGCAGTATAAAAGGACATTTAAATATAATCTTCTGTATTTATTGGTAGATGTCTTAAAATGTAATTTTTTTAATTGGGATCTTTTAAAAGTTAGAATCTTCAGCAGTGTGAATTCATGCCAAAGAGTCCATATCCAGCTTTTAGAGAGTCTTTTAATGTTAATTAATATTTATCATTATGTAAACATAGAATTTTGGCAGAGAGAGTGAAGGTAAGGAAAGACAATGATTATGATGTAAGAGTGATGTAAGAGTAAAGACTGAGAAGAAGAAAAATCATTCAGTGTTGAAAAACTTGTACTCAGATCCTTCCTCTTCTATTGCCCACTGCCTGCACATTCCTTGCACACGTACACTGCAGTCAAAATGTAACTTAAATGTGGTATCATAGTCAGTCGATACCTGCTGGTAACACAGCTATGCAGTCCGTATACTCTTTGGCAAACATGTACAGCTTTTACCACCCATTTATCTTTTTTATTTCACATATCTTGAAATCACTGTTTTGAATGTATCATATGTCCCTGCATAAGTATTATGCAGGATCTCTAGTTACTGTGCAATTTATGAAAATTTCCAGTCCTTAATTTTGTTGATCTACTTATTTCTTAACATACTTTTTAATGTACTGGTGTAGGTAATAATGTATTGCTATACCAAAGGTTTCATGGGGTGGGAGCTCAAAGAGGACCTCTGTTCCTATCAGGTATTTTGACAAACACATTTGTTTTAGGTACTGAAAAACAAATAATCACCACTGTGAATGTTGATTGCTCGTCCTAGGGAAAAATTTCTTCATTCTGTTCATAAGATAAGATAGTATGCTGAAAAGTTCAGGTTTCCCATGACTAGTTTTAAATGGTTGATTATGAAAGGCTGAAGAGAGTAAATATGTTCTCCAGTAATTTAGGTGTTAGAGTAATTTGCAGCATTTACGAGGGATGTCTGACAAATTTAGGGCATGTCTGTGTTCTGTGTTTGCATAGCCGTGTGTGCAGATCCACCTAGTGGAGGTACAGCAGAAACAACAAGAAAAATTTTTTCCTGCTAGCTTTTCTTTCCCAGGTTGTATTAGCTAAACTGATAAAGGTGCCCTTCCGCTAGCAAAAGTTTGTGTCTGGGTTTGATTGGCATCACAGTAGCAGCTGCACTGTGCAGCATCTTTCATATTCCTCACTGGCATACATATGCCGACAGAACTTGGTAGACTAGGTCAAACCTTAGGCTAGGATAATTGCATCTGGCAAGAATAAGAAATGAATTTGGTTTATACCATTTGCAATTTAAAGTAAATTACATTCAGAATGCACAGTCTGAGATACGTTTTCACATTTATCTTCTTTCTACAGGAATGAGCTGGAACGCCAGTTTCTTGAGTTGTTGCAGTTCAATATTAATGTTCCCTCTAGTGTTTATGCCAAGTATTATTTTGATTTGCGTTCCCTGGCAGAAGCGAATAACCTGAGTTTTCCTTTGGAGCCCCTCAGCAGGGACAGGGCGTATAAACTTGAGGTAAGACACTTTCTTTTTAGATTGCTCAGCATTGAATATATAGGAGGATTTGGAATTTTTGCGTTGTTTCTCCCTTCTCCCATCTCTTCCCAAATATTCCCATGAGATATTAGAATATCACGTGCCCCAATTTTCATAACTGCTTTGTTTGTGCTTTGGGTATTCATGGACATGGGATGGCTTTTTGGCCCGATTTGCTTCATGCCTTGTCTTGCTTCCCATTTCTTTTTCAGTTCCAGTTGTCTGAATTGACCTTGTGAAAGTACCCGCAAGTTTCACAGTGACTTTGTTCACAGTCTGGTTTTATGTGTTCATTTGGTTTCTTAAAACTGATTATGCAGCTTAAAGGACAGAATATTAACAAGTATTGCTGAAAATAACTATCCCATGTGCTTGTTATCTGCTACTGCCTAATTCACGTGGATCCAAGTCTGTTATCTCCTGCGGTGTTTTTCTCAGTAATGGGAAAACAGAAATGAGCACATGTCTTTAGTGAATAAATCATGAATGCTTATGAGACCTGAACATACCGTGTGCACTATGTCGGATGGGCTGGACCTGTGAAATCCATTGCACTATGAATTCCCACAGGCACAGGAAGAATTTAAAATCATCAGCCAATTGTGGGCACTTTGCAAGACTGGAATCTATTTTTCCTGAGCTTTCTGATACGAAGTTTTTCAAATAAGGACATTATTGCATGAGTGTGTACACATTTTGTTACTAATTTTGAAATTTGTCGTTAGATGCTAACTGCTTTTAACATCGCACGCCTTTAATTATATAACAGCTTTGTACTGGAGGTTGCTTGCCTGTGGGTTAGAGTGAGCTTTGCACGGTCTGAAATTCCTAGTGCTCCTGTAAAACAGGCAGGCAGTACTATACACGTTTTTGTGGGGGGAAGTGGTGCGTGGGAAGGTTAATTGACTTGTTTGTGACTGTAGTGGGAACAGAAAGTGGTGGAGAAAGACTCAAAGCAGATTTCACTAAAGTTGTATTTCTCATTCGTTCTAAATATTCTTTCTAAATTTTGCAGATAGCTCCAATAAGAATGTAACTTAATTCTGTGTATGGAGTGTGATGTAAATTTGCATCAGATTTTGTTTCTATTGAAGAGAATTAAAAAAAAAAAAATTCATTGGGATTGTAATCTTAAATGAAAAGAGGTAGTTTATTAAGTTATTAGATGGTGGGTCTTGATAATAAGTGCCATTACATATATTAAAATTGAGTGAATTGCTTTTTGATGAGAATTTAGTACACAGTGTTTCCCAACACTGTCAGGCTATATCGCACACAATGTATAACAGCAGGTTACAAATGAAGGTAACAACGATAGCTCCTGAAACCTTAGAAGAAAACAAAATAGGAAATTACTGTAAATACCCAGAGAATACTGGTGGTTCTTCTGTACTAACTAAAGAGAAGGCATATTTAAAAAGAAATAGTGGAATCTTTTTCTCAATAAATCCATATTATTAAAATTTTTCCCACGTTGGGGATGCTTTGTCCTGCTAGCAGAAGTTGGCTGTACAGTAACCCTGCTAGCCAAAGAGGATGTCTTCAGGGAAGAGGATGAGTATCTGCTGTGAAACCAACGTGGTCTACCAGCTCCTTGCCTCTGTTCTGGGGCCAGAAGGAATGGAACACGATGGGAACTCCCTTGTTCCCTGGCAATACTTGGTTGTCATTAGTGTGCCCTTGAAACTGGTTGACAGCATAATCTATAGCCTAGTTCCCAGTTAAGCATTTGGGTTGCCAAGAGTTATCAAAATGCATTTGCAGCACTTTTCTAGGTGTCTCATGTGGTGTTCAGCCCGGGGTTCTCTGTTTTTAAAACAGTTGCCTGGATTGTCAAGTGGAGTAGATGTAGTACCACACAGGCTGTGATATTTTTGACACTGAGAGAAAAGCTGCAGTCTGTGATGAAAGACAACAGACTCACAGTGAATGTACGTCTGCAGTGGAAGGATTTGCCTTGTCTGGTAAACTGAAAGGGCCTTGCTCAGTCCTAAGATTTAAGACAACTTATTTACTGATGTTTGAGATCACGAAAGGTCTTGCATAGAGAAATGGTTATATTATAACACATTTTTGCTACTTTTGCATTTTCAAGCTCATTTATGTATAGCAGGAGTATTAGATCTGGCATGGCAGAATCTGCATTGCTGTTTCTGCAAATATCATGAGGTTGATGTACCTGTGATGGAAAACAAAAAAAAACAAAAAACCAAGACCACCAAGGATAAGGCTAGTAAATACTGTTCCTCATTAAATGGAAATGCTGGACAAGATCCATCAGCTTAGAGGTGTTATAAGAGGTTATAGTACTTGTTAAAAATGACAACGCTTTCTGGAGCATCTGCAGTGGATGTTTTTCCTTATTTAATGTTACCACAATTGACACTTAAGAAGCAGCTTTGTCTTTTAAATGACTAAATGAAAGTAATTTTTTCTTACTTTTCATCAGCCTGTGGCCTAAAAGTGTCCTGAATTTGTTATACCAGTCCACCTAGTAGCCAGAAACCATTTTCATAATGCCTCTTTTTTTTTTTTCCCATTGTATGGAATCATGCAAGTTAAAAATGGCAAATAACCTTTCATTAGATCATCCAGTCTGTCCACCTGCCAATGCTGTTTGTTCCAACCAGCATATGTTGTAATGTGTTTTCTCCTTCCTTTTAATTATG